TGTGCTTTCCTTGACCGGCTCAGCAGACAGCCCTGCCTGGGACACCCCAAGGACCGGAGCTCGCCCCACGGGCTCTCTGTAGCCCCCACCAGCCTGCAAACACACCTGGGGCACCGAGGCCTCTGGGTGCTGTGGGGCAGCTCCCTGGGGACCCGCAGGGAGAGGCAACGACGGCAGCAGGGGAGCAGCAGCCGTGACGGATGATCCAGAGGGGACCGGGGAGCACGGCCAAGGGCAGCTCCTGGGAGCACTTGGGCGCAAGTGTGCGAGGCAGGGGAGGCCCCTCTGTGTCCTGACGGCACCTCACTGCCCTGCACTGCAGCCCCTGTGGGTGCCCAGCCCTGACGCCACTCAGCCTGGCACCAGCGTGTCCCCCACTCCAGCCAGAAGGCGAGGGAGCAAGGCACCCTGCCGCCCCGCTGCCCGCTGCTCAGGCAGCCTCCTTCCTGCCTGCAAAGGCAGCCCAGGCGCCACCACCTGCTTCAGCATTTCTAACATGGTCAGGGGTTTCCGCTGGTATTACAAATGTTATTAAACACTGAAACAGGGTTGTAAAAAGATAACACAGAGAGCAGTTGTACACGCTCTGGGGAGATGTTTGGAGGCTTTGCTGGCTCGTGTCTTACTGTGAGGAAACCAGCACACTCATAGCAAGCCACCAGCACTCTGTGCAGATGCTTTATGGACTGGACACAGATCAAAGCCTCCTCCCTCTTACATTCACCCCCAGCACTATCTCCTGCTGTAGCGGGATGGAAGTCTGTGAATGCTCAGCATTCCTAGGCAAAGCAACCAGAGCTGGGAGAGGCTCTCAGGGACGTATCAAAGACCTCAAGTGAAAGGGACGGTAGGGAGCGGGCGGGCACCCTTGTGTTGCGCTGTCTGAACACAACCCAACCTCAGCTACGCTACAAGGCCCTGCACCGCGCTGTCCTGACACAGCACCTCCAGGCACTTCAGCGCCACTCAGCCAGAAATCACACTGCAGCAAGAACAAGGGCCTGTTTGTCACCACCCTAATTAATCCACTTCAGGCAACGCAGCTGAGAAGCAGGGCAGCGATGTGGGGAGCACGGGACTACCCGCCCTCCCGGCCCGCCAGCACAGGGTGGCTGGAAGATGGTTAAATCCGAACCCTGCCAAGCTGTATCAGTAGCAAAGCAAAGCGCCCTTCCCACGGCCACCCCCCTCCTGCCGGAGCGAGCCCTTCCCAAAGCGGATGAAGTGGAAGAAAACACTCACCTGGTTGTTCCGCATTCGGCTCTCTCACCTGCGAAGAAACACAAGTTTCCATCATCTCTCGACGTCAGTCACCACCGAAGGACGGCGCAAACACACTTGCACAGGCACTCGCACACTCACTTCTGGGTCTGTAAGCCCCGAGCTAACGGCTTCTGGCAAAAGCAGCTGAACTCGCCCGAGGACCCCGCGGGCTGGGGAGATGCCGAGCTGGTCGCTGTACAAGCCCCCGCCACTAAGTGGCACATTAGAAATCCAAGACTCAGCCACAAGAGAGGGAAAGCATTTTCAGTTCCCACTGAGCTTAAAAGGTTTGTCTGCGATAGGAAGCCCATCTCGTCGATACCCAGATGCACTGCAGCCCTCGGCAAGAAGTGCTCATTTACACCAGCTGGGGAGGGGCCCAGCCCAAGCAGGACAGGGACAGTCTGATGAGAATCCTGAGAGATAACAGCCCATCGAATCACCAGCAGGCAGACTCTATTCTGGCTGTCAATATTCTCATTCCCTTCGTGTATTTTTAGTGCCTGGATTGCATATAAACAACAGCATATCACCACTGATAAGATGTGTTCACTTTTTAAAGTATTTGTCAATCCACTGAAAAAACCTAAACTAATTTCACATGCCATTTGTGTCTTTCTCCCAAGGCCAGGAATGCTGATTTATTCTTCCTTTTTCTACAACACATAAAAGGAAGCATTTGGCTGCACATGCCTCCTTCCTGCTCTCCCCTGGCACCTGCGGAAAGCAAGCTTGCAGCCAACTCCTCACTGAAAAAGAAGAGAGATGAGTGTTTTGCAAACCCAGACTTCTTCCTAATGAGAATCAGCTCATGCTGAAACACAGCATTTGGCATTTCTGGGCTAAATATTTGCTGAACGCCCACAGAGCAGGATGATCCCATGGCCTGGGAGAAATTCAGAAAGCTTTCATGTGAAAATCTTCCAGGGCTGCTTTATGCACAGCTCTAGAGAACTAAAATGCCTGACCCTGCACTCTTCCTCCCAAGTACGGCATTAGGATGGCTCTTGTGTGAGAGACCAGGATGGAGACCAAATTAATCTTCAACGGATTCATCACTTCTTGCACCAATCCAGAGGAATCGTTAAACAGCTCTTTTCTTCCCAAGATCTGCGCTCTCCGGGAAGGCTTAGGGGGGGTCTGGTTTCAGTGAACGGCACGCTCCAGCCCCCTCGCCCGTGCCAAGGCCTGAACTCAGACCCAGCAGCTGGGAGCCCTGCCTGGCAGCGGTAACCCCCGAGCCTGGCACAACCCCTGCCAGGGCGAGGGTGCAGAAGGGCTGCCACCGACCTGCTACGCAGGGTGACAAGGGGTTAAGGCAGCCACCGGGAGTACTGAAACTCCCGGGAAAAGAAACAGGCTAATGGAGCCCTCCTATCTCCCCTGCAGCCTTCCTCGGGCTTAGTCTGGTGCCTCGACTTGGCTCAGTGTTCACCACACGGAACATAACCCAGCATCTAACCAGAAGGTCAATTTTAAAGCTAAATAAATTTTGCAGAGAAAATATGTTTGGCAAAATAGCCCACAAAAAGCTATTCTCTTCTTTTTTTCTTTTGACTCCGAGATGAGTAGTCCAATTTTTCTATTGTTAAAACACAACCATGGACTATTTGCATATTTTAATTTAAATATACTCTCTCCTGTTGGAAAATCAGGACACTAAACTCATCTCCATCTTCTTTACACAGGAAATAATGCAATTTTTAAAACCCTTTAAAAGAGCTAAAATCTTCTCCCAGGGACATGGTCCCACATCGCTACTCCAGCAGTGGCAGATCCCACCTGGAGCCCCTCGCTCCTGCCTCCCTCAGAAGTTACTGGCCCTCTGTTGTGCAAAGCCCGTTTGCACGTGTGTGAAGTTACCCGGGGTCACATGGAAAGTTAGTTTTAAACACAAGGACAACTTCACAGTGCTGGTTTAAAGCAAGTCACAAACCCATGGCCAGGGGGGCAAGGGGCCTATCAAACCAGCAGGGCGGCTGCCAAATCCGTAATACAGCAGCGCAGCACCGAGGGCAAGAAAACACGTGTGTTCAGGGCTGCACTGAGCAGGGAAGAAGGGGGAGAGAAAGGAAAAAGGCAGAGGGTTGGAGTGGGTGGGAACCTCTTTGCTGCTGGAGAAGTCACACCGCGCTTTGGCGCACAGTGTAAGAGTCAAACAATTTCTCTGTGTGCGCTCCCCAAAAAAGGTGGGAAAAGAGCACTATTCCAGGGAAATAACGATTTTGCGTGTCGCTGGTTAAAGTCAGCAGCCAACCACAGAAGCCATCAGTCACTCAGGAAAACACAGACAGCAGGAAAGACTGAAAGATGACGACTGGTTTGAAATCATCTCATGCGATGGGAGGTTTCTCCCTCGACCTAACCCCGCGACTCACCTTCTCCAAGAGTCTGCTTCAGCAAGTCATGTTTAGCCTGGAGCTTCGTGATAAGGTTGCTGCCATTCAAATACTCTTTAAATTTCTGGAATTAAAAATAAAGCAAACAAGGTGGTTTAGGCCTCTTGGCAAAAAGAGTCCGTATCTGATGTATGCTTTTGCCTGGGGGGCTGCTGGAGGGGGCTCGGCGAGGCTGACAGGCTCTGACAAACCAGACGTCAGGCGCGCCGCAGGGCTGAGCACAATCTAATCACTTCTCGCTGCTCCAGCCGCAGTCCTGATGATCTTATTAGCCCGGTCTCCTTGGTGCTGCACCTCCTGCCTGGGAACGCAAGGAGGTCCCAAGAAAAGAGTTCAAAGCAGCCTCCTTTTGTCAGGCTGCTGGGAACGGCCTGGAAAATCAAAGAGGCTTTCCTGCGCTGCCAGGCGCTTTGCCTTTGTGCGAGCGAGCGATGCAGAGCGAGAACTCCCAGCGCGTGAGACCCTCCCAGGTCAGGGACCGTCAGACGCCGAATGCGCTGGGCGACACCAACGGCGCAGCACGGCCCCTCAATTCACCGGGGGACTCTGACACCCGGCAACGCTCCGGAGCAAGCAGTTTTACAGAGGAGTGTGGGAGACAGGGATGGAAAATGAAAAAATGAAAGACAGAGAATGGGAAAGACCAAATTCTTGCAAAAAGTATGAAAATGACCTAAGTTCCCCCCAAACTGGAATATGCTACTGTTAAGAGAAAGTGGCACTTTTCTATGTGTATGTAATGTATCACAAGATGCTATCAACTCTAGCCTGCTGACTGTGCTCAAAGGAGGGCTAAAAACACCGAGGGCCTGTAACTCACGTTTCAGGTACTAAAACAGAGAACCTTGGATCTGCCTGAAGCCCCGGACGGAGGCTGCAGGGGAGGCCGGGCACAGCTGCCTCCACCCAGCACGCGCCCAACAGCGGGGCGCCGCAAAGCCGCAGCTCCCTCCTGCACCCTGCACGAGAGGCCCACGACCATTCATTTACCCATGGGCCAAGGGCAGATTTAAGCTGCGTAGGGAGAAAAGGAAGGCTCGGCTGATGGCTGAAAACTGTAAAGGCCTCCAGGAACTGCCACCGAAGGGTGACAGTGTGAGGCTGGCTGGAGCCTGCTGCCCTGCTCTGAGCCACTCCTACGGAGCCCTTGGTCACAACCGGTTGCTCCAGTTGTTCCTTCAAAAAGAAGAACAAGGCAGACACTGGATTGTCAGTCCCTATGCCCTACCCTGCCACTGAGAAACACATTCCAACCCCAATCAGACAGAAGACAAATACTTAAAGAGACTGAATTGGTTCTTGCTCTTCACTAATGAGCACTTGAAAAGGGACTCGGCCCTAGCAATTAATGCTTTGTGTCCTGTATCGCATGAGATGAGACTCACTGTAAAATAGAACATTTCGGTTTCCTGCTGGTTGGCTCTCCTTTTGGCGATGTTTATTTTACTCATGTAGGTCTCTGATGCAGCTGATTTGACCGACTCAGTGGAGCGACTATGCTGGAAGGCATCTGAAACATCAAAATCTTCCACCGTCAGCATGTCCTGCAAAGTCTGCATTGTGGCATCCAGAGTTTTTCGTACCTATCGGAAAGAGCAGACAGCACGGTTTTGAAGCAGACAGGGAAAGTGACAACTCTTGTGCCAAAACAACTGGCCAACAGGCAGCTCCTAAGTACTGGGCCTGCTCTCGTGCCAGCTGCAGTCAGTGGGAGCTCTCAGCACTGTCACTGGGAGGACTCCTCACTGGAGCACACCAGGAAACCCCCTGCCTAACAGGCAAAAGGCTCAGCAACGCTGCCTACGAGACTCAGAGCAAGTTCTTACCTCTTCGTTCTCTATCTTGAGGGTGGCCAGTCGTGACTGCAGCTGGTGGTACCGCATCAGCAACTCGGTCTGCACAGGCTGCTGGGCGCTGACCTGACACACCTGAGGCAGGAGCAGGGCCAGAGAGAGACAGGAGAGCATTCAGTGGGCCGTGCACTGACCAGACATAGGCATTTAAATCCCTAAAGGATTCTCTACAGCACCCACAAGCCCCATCACCCAGTTTCTAATCAGCAGTGCCCTGGACCCAGGCCAGCACAAAGCATTTTCCACCCAGCATTTGAAAGCTGCACTCTGAAGTCTTCCAATTACAGCAGGTAAATCAAAGCTCCACTTCACAAATTTGTTGGGCCGTTCAGCTGAGAATCAAACCACAGGCTTCCTAATTGGGGGATACACAGCGCAAGAAGCAGACTGAAAGGAGGAGCCCTAACGAGCCAAGTGTCTCATTAGGGAAGGAAACACAAATGGCAGCGTGTGAAGACAGCACAGAGGGGTAAGGAGTCAGGAATAATTTAACAGCGACGGTTACAAAGAGGAGGACGCCAGCCCAGGCCAGGCTGCGAGGCAGCTCTGCAGCCCCTCGGGCGAGTACGCTACCTCATCCCCCATGTGAGGCTGGAACTCGAACTTCAGCGGAGGGCAGAAGACCTGGTTGCACATGTCCATGATGGTGTGCTTGTCGCTCCGCGCATCCAGGTTGTCCACAGCATTCTCGATGATGTCCAGGCCCTCGTGGCGGGAGGTTTCCAGGTTGTACTCGGCAGACAGGTACGTCCTGAAGGTCCGAGCGAGGCTGGCGTGGAATCCCAGATCACAGCACTGAGAAACATCGAGGAAGGGTCTGGTCACAGAAACACTCCCACCCTTGCTCTGGAGGGTCACGTGTACATTAAACGCCCCAAAACGCACTGTCTGCCCCAGAGAACACCAGCCCTGTCGTCCCGGGGTATATTTAACAGCATACCGCAATACCATTTGAACAGACAAGGACTGAAGGAGCAGAGGCCCCAGGGAACAAGCAGCCAGACAGTACTGTGACCCTGCGCTGGACCCTCGCCATGGCACCGGGGTTTCACACCCTTCCTTTCGCTGGGATGAGCATGGAATCTTCCCAGACAGGACAGAGGGGAAAAAAAAAAGAAAACACAAACCCAACAAACAAACGTCCAAAAGCACGGTTCTCTCTGGCTACCTGCTCAGCCCCAGGGCCAGCATGACCACAGCAGCCCCACCAATGGCAAAACCTGTGCCCCACAGAGGCCCCCAGGAAAGAAGCGGCCAGAGGGCCTGTTGCCACTGCTTGTCCCCAGCACTGTCCTCCTCGCCTTGTGAGCTGCCCTGCAAGCACCATTTACACAAGGAAACCACTTCCCAGAGTTACCAAATACAGACGGACATTAAAGCAAGGCAGCACTGAAAAGTGTGCCCTGCAGTATGTGCAAGCCCTTTTATCCTCACTAGGAAGCTTCCTTCCTCCCTCACAACGGAGCAGCTTCTCATGCATAACTGATCATTCTCATGTTCACCTTGGGGATAAATGATAAAACTTGGAGCTAATTGCTGCCAAAATACTGTACGTTAGACAAAAGCCTGTTTTTAAACTCTCTTTTCAATATAATTGAGTTTGGCATGTTAAGTACAGCAACAGCATAGGGATTTGCTGCTATGAACACTTAATCACAGCTGAGCAAAAAGCAACTCTTAGCAACCCTCCTCCCAGTGCCCAACGGGAGCGCTGGGACCGCGCAAACCTCCACAGGGCTCCACTCCGACCGGCTGCCTC